ACATGCCAGCACCATATCCATCAAATAGTACAATGAATGCTGGAATGCAACCTCAATATCAAACATCTCCTATGAATCCACCACCATACTACAGTGTGTTTAAAATATGATATTCTAATAAAAGAGAAAACTTATTTGATATTTATTTATAGATGCAGCTGTACCACCACCAATTCCTGTATATGTTCAACCAACACCAGTTGTTCAACATTTAGGAGGTTTTTTAGGACATAGCCCTCAAGCAACACAATGTCCATCATGTCGACAACAAATTATTACTAGTGTTCGATATGAAAATGGTGGTTCCACATGGGCTATATCATTTCTTATTTGTATCTTGGGCGGTTTTCTTGGCTGTTGTTTTATTCCTTTTTGTGTTACATCATGTCAAGATGCTGTACATACATGTCCATCATGTCATGCTCATATAGGTCGACGAACTGTTTTTTAATTTAACGAATAAATAAATACTTTCTAATATCGATTGAAACAATTTAAACAAACAGTTATTATATTTAAACATTCGAAAGATCCGTTTATTTTCATTTAAAATGTTTCGCAAGAAGTTAACATTTTTTTTCATCACTTCTATAACGTATGAATCATTGTAAAAGTATTGTTATATGTAAATAATACACTTATTTTTTTAACTAACTAGTGAAGAAAATTTAGATTCCTTCTAGTAACATCGAAAGTAAAAATTTAGAAAGATACAAATAGCGAAATATTAACGACAAGAAGGTACATGGATGAGTGAAGATGTGGATTTCATCTTCATCTCACATTCTCACTCCCACTTTCATCCGCCCACACTTAAAATCAATGATGAATGTATGACGTTTGTTCTACGTCAATCGATATTTCTGACAATCTGATTTTATCGGTCGAAAGAAAAAAGTAAACCAACAAACGCAAAAAAATTAAAAAGAAAATTTATTCTATCCTCTTCTTTTTTGTTCTCAATTTTTTCTTACGATCGTTGCCAGAGCAATTTAGAGAATTCTTGAAGCCTAACATTCACAGGTGTGATTCGCATTCCTATATAAGCATTAAAAAAAATACATTATTATATTTGCATTTATATATAATTATAAATCTGCAGACATATAGAGTAAAATATGAGTTCTGCTCCACCACCTTACAGTAAATAATATTTATTTTCTTCATACTTTTTTTCAGATATTTTATTAAAATTTAGGTGAAAAAGCTTCTTCTCAACCAGCCGGTTCTTATCAACAACGCCAACAACAACCCCAACCAATAATGTATCAACTTCCAATTATCGTAGGTGAATATCCAGTTCAATGTACATGTCCGCAATGTAAAGCACAAATTGTTACACGAACTGAAAAGAAAGTTGGTCTTTTTGCTTGGTTACTCTGTGGTATAATGGTTCTCATCGCTTTCTGGATTTGTTGTTTTATACCATTTTGTGTTGATGCTTGCAAAGTTAGTATTCTTACAATTAAAATAATATTTTTTTCATTTGTTTTTTATTTCTATAGGATACAGAACATTATTGTCCAAGTTGTAATACATTAATTGGTGCTCACAAAAAATTATAAACTATCACAAATAATGAACTCATGATATCTCTCTCTCTTTTCTTCATATTTTTTAAAGTATACTTGAAGTTAAAAGAAAAATGCAGTTTTTTTTTGTATAAATAAACAGAACACAATTCTGACGCATATGTATTGTGTGCGCAAAGAGAAAAAGAAACGAAATAGAAAAATAATGAATTTCATCATTTCTTTTTAGCTTCAAAAAAAAATATAATCAAGATTAAAAGAGAATTAGAAGCTTTTACAAAACTAAGAATATATATCATTCATTAAGAAAATGTCACGGCCATATCCGATAGAGCCAAATGCAAGTAACTTTGATTATGATCCAGGTCAAGCAAGTAATCCGCAAGAAGTAACACCACTTGGTACTTCAAATTATATACAAACACAAATAGAAATCTATGGCGATGAACTGATACAATGTACTTGTCCTTACTGTAAAAGATTAATTATTACACGAGTTGAAAGGAAAACAGGTTTCACAGTATGGTTAGTTTGTGGTACAATTATACTTCTTGGTGGATGTTTTGGCTGTTGTCTCATTCCATTTTGTATTAAAAGTCTTAAAGTAAGTGAAATATTTTCAGAAGAATATTATAAACAAAAGATATATCATTTTTATTTTTATTGATTTATTATAGGATAAAACGCATTATTGTTCTAGTTGTGGAGCACGTCTTTGTGAATCTAAATTATTATAAGTTATTGGTAGAATATGGTTCATTTGGCTTTTTTTGAAAAACAAATTATTTTTATTTTCCTTGCTATAAGAGAAAACATACATTGAATATATTTTAAATACGAAATAAGTTAATAAAAAATTGCATTGGAAAGATGCCTATTGTGCAATTTTGGATATGATGTGTTTGGTATTGAAATAAAAAAATATTGTCTTTCTATTGATACATAGAAAATAAACTGTAATTATGCGATAATAATTTTTGAACAATTTAAACTTATCTTATTGATTATCGTGTTAAAAAAATACGGTATTGAATTATTATAGTAAATTAAAGATACAAAAGATTTTTCATAAATTCTATATGCTTGTATAATCTAACATGTCTCTTTTTCACTAACGAAAAAATTATTGTATCTTTATTCTTTTGTTAAATAGAAATAATGTAATTACATAAATGTTTATTCTAAAAATGGACAGTAATTAGAACTTTGTAGTATTCTTATTTTATCGTTGTGATAAGATTTCTATGTATCACAACAATAGAAATTTATGATTACAATATTTAAAAAGGCGACCTCTTTTTATCCAATTATGCATTAGTGTTGCTATATAAAGCAATCAAACAAAATCTTATATCATAACTGTATTCTAAGTACAGTTCATAATTAAAAAATTACCTTTTCTTTCATTTTAATATGCATTTAAATTTATCGTTAATGAGAAGTAAGGAAAAATATAGTAAAATAATTTTTCCAATTCTTCGTCGATATATATTCTCATATAAGCGAATTGCTAAAACAAATGGATCCATTCAATCATTTCTTGTTCATGCAATGGAAAAACGTAGAAAACGAACTCAGCAAGATGATATAAGACTTGAACCATATGTTTCAAAAGGTGTTTATACTGAGTCAGGAGCTATTCGACCAGTAAGATTTTTAAATCAATCTATTATTTTATTCTAAAAAAAACTATTTAGATGCCTAAACGATATCCACTTGGTATTATAAAAGTTCTACTTGTTTCAATTCCATTTCTTTATCTTGGTTCACTTGCAAGCAAATATGCAGCAATGGGTCTTGAGAAAATGGATGTATTTATTTATACTGATGATGATGACGATGATGATGATTAAAAAAAACTTAATCAAATCGTTTGTTATTACTCGACATTTTTATATATTTCGAGTGTTTTCCTTTTTTATATTGTCAAATAGTTTATTTCACGACCATAGGCCAATACAGATTTTTTTTTATATATCGCTTTCAAGTACGTTAAAAGTGTTGTTACTTTGTAATTATAATGTGATATTCTATGCATTCTTAGAGATTCTTTTTCCTTCATTATAATGTTGTGAAATTATCATTTTGACTTTGCACGATTTTGTATTTGAACTGATAAAAATATAAAATCTTAAAAATTGATTAATATTGATTTTCTAAATAAATTTCTATTATATCTATTTATCTAAAGGATAGACGATAGATAGAGTTTAATGCGCTATTTCTCGTGTCACTCTATTTTTCATTGATTTCATTGTATGATTATTACATAACACAATTAAGTTCCAATAATTGATTGTAAACATTGCCAGATATTTATGAATGCTGTTTGACAATAATCTTCACATAATCAGCTTCTTATAATAATTACAAAGTTCTTTTTTAAATAAATTGTTGCTCACCTGAAGTTGATCTTCTATGACATATCATAATACTACTCGTGTACTATTTATCAAGGTATTCGTATCATTCTATTTTTTTGGAGCGATATTCTTAATACTGAAATGATTGATCATGACAACTAAATATCCATATATTCTTACAGATGATTTCAGGTAGAATTTCAACGGTTATCATTTAAATTACACATTGGTTATAACGTGATTGACATATTTTCTTATAATTGTTACCTTAACGTAACATTCTGTTTCATGTTTGAGGGAGGTCAAGTGTATTTTTAAACATAACAAATATTTTCTTGAGTACCTATATCAAATATCAGATGATTGGAAAAAACATGTTATAGTTTTCTATTTTCTTGATCGTCAAAAAATAATTTAGCATATAATTATTTTCGTTGTACAAAACAAGTTAGGTTAATAAAAGAAAAACTTATTGATCTTTCTTAAATATTAACAAAAAAATTATATTATAAGTTAAAAGCGAACTGGATTTACTTTATTACAAAAAAACTATCTTCAGGATTAGAATATTGAAAAAATGAATATTATTGCGTAGGTTATACTAATATAAGGAACAGTAAAACAATGTGTGTCATAAATTTATTTAATTTTCTTTCTGCCCTGTCTTTCAAGGCAATTAAATATAAATTTTTATTAGTCAATAAATTAAAAAACTGACTTCAACGAGAACCAAACATTTGACGTCAATAATGTTATACTTATTCATTCTAATAAAAATTTTATTGCTTGTTTTACTATATAAACTCATGTACGCAGTTAGTTTCTCTTATGTAATATTTATTTTATTATGGCTTATTTTGTATATCCTCCAATGGATCTATATCGGCAATCGCCGTCTTTTCGTCGATATCAAATTCATGAAAAAATCTTTTCATTTGGTGACAATTTTAAAATCAAAGATGAAATGGGTCGAGATGTATATAAAGTTCGATCAAAATTCTTGTCAGTGGGTGATAAACTAGTTCTTGAAGATATGGCTGGAAAGTAAGTTATTCATATCGAACAGTCAAGAAAACATATTTTCCTCTTCGATTTTGTTTTCTAGTGGTTTGATAAGAGTTCAACAAGAAGTATTTCATTATCATCCAACATTCAATATATTATCTGCTCGAGCTGGTGACTCTAATCGACAATTAGGAGCTTTAAAAAAGAAATTCGCATTTTTTCATAATAGATTCAATATTGATTCTGTTTATGGGCAATATACTTTAGAAGGTCTTGAAATTTTTTCACATTCATTCACATTATTGAAAGATGGACGAGTAGTAGCAAGAGTAAGTAAAAACTTGTTTGCATTGTCTGATTCATATGGTGCTGAAATTATTGGTAATGAAGATCAAGCATTCGTTTTATCATTAATTATTATTCTTGACCAAATTATATTCGATAAAAATTAAACATCATCATAATTAACTATATTATTTTTTATTTTGTAACACAGTATTTCTTTCATAATAATTATAGTTAAGAAAAAAATGAAATTAACTAAATTTATATTATAGAAGTTATATTTATAGATAAATAATGATTCAAGTTATTATTGTTTTGAAAAAACAATGAATGAGAAAACGAAGAGTGTAAGTGTGAATGTAAATGAATACTAGGCAGCCTCATGCACATCCATGCCAATGACGGATCTAGGATTTTTATGCGGCGATTTCGGTTAAAAATTGCATTACCGCCCTCATTCAACATATCATCTATTGATTTTCAGATCATTTTTGCTGGAAAAAATCCAAGAAATAATTTGAGATAGGGTACAATTGCACCCTTTCCCTTAAATCCACCGCTGATAGGATCGACAATCGCAATACAACAGATTGGTTTTTCCTAAAAACTATTATGAAGAAGATTTGGAATCTAGTCCGTTATTAATTTTGTAAATTTCATAGTCCTTTCGGATTAAAAAAGATCAACATATTACCCTGTATGAATGCTTATCGAGTAGCGCTCCTATAATCAACAGGAAAACATTTAAATTAGAGACAAGTTTTACGTGACGAAATTTGAAAACAGATTATCATACATTTATCGATTGTAGATTTCTATTTATGAACAATAGCGCAAATATAATTTATGAAATATTTCGATTATTCGGCAAATAATTTCGATAGATAAACAGAATTGAAAATTGTTTAACTTCGTTCTGAAGATTTGAGGACGGGAATCGGAATGAGCAGTATATATTTACCCACATCCTGATTGGTTTGAACAGACAGACAAACTTTATGGATTCGAAGCTCAGAACTTAATCGCCATTTAACCTTTTCTTTCAAAAAAAGAAATAAGAATTCAGTAGTGCAAGTTGAAAAATATTAATTTTATTATTTAAAACAAAGATGCGAAACAAAACAACAACACTATATGATTATGTCCTCTTATTAACATGCTGCAAATTTAAACATTGTATGAATTTATTTAAATATATACACTTGTGCATGTGACTATCCCCAAAACGTCGAGTTATTATTAAATACTTTAAATAGAATTACTAACTGTGGAATTATTATCTGCTTTAATTAATATAACGTTATGTGAAGAAACAACAGTAAACTACTATTTACGATAATATATACATTGTGATAATAGCATCTGCGCTTTTACTTAGAAATTTATACATACTTTAAATGTCGATAAAGAAGTAGCATGGATAATATAGGAAAGAAATGAAAACAAAATTGAATCAGTGTCACCCCACGTGTCTTACGATTCTTGTCGAAAAATTTGATTATGCATGGATTAAAATTTTACTTCATTATTATGTTAGTGAACTATGTAAATATATGATAAAAATAACAACAGAATCATCAAATATAGAACTGCTACAGTTCAAGTCGATTTTGCCGAAAATTTTTCACTTTTTAGTTAGTCACCTGATCAATCAGTTTACTGGAGCCAAAAACAAGCTACAATTTATACAGTATATCTGAAAATGGACCTAGACAATCGAAGTCTTGTATAGTTTATCAGTGACTGTATGAAGCATACACAACTTTGAAGTTGTTTATCATTGCCACACATGCCTAGTTAATTTTTATAATAAAATTCTATCCAAACGTCAAAAATGTGTAAGTTTTAAAGTATGAGATAGTTGTTTATATATTTGAGGGAAAAGTTTAGAAGTTTTAGATAGAGTATTGATACGACAGTAAACAGAAGCGTAGGCTTTGATTTGTTGAAACTATTTCAAATCAATATCAGATCGGAGAATATATTTCGATTATTTTATAGTTAAAAAACGGATTGTGAAGTTTTTCTGAAGAAAATATTTTGTTGAATTTACTCTCTCCTATCAGTTGTTATGAAGAATGGATAGATGAAAGACGTTGACTAAGGTTTTATGTTATAGAAAAGAGATTACTTTCGTTTAAGAATAATCACTAACATAGAATTTAATTGCAATGGCACTTATGTCTTAAATACGTTATAGTTAAATAATCTATCAATCGTGAAGCATTATACTAGTAATAATGACTTTGTAGAATATTTTACAATATCCGTGTTTTAACGAGAATGAGCGACACATAGAACGAATAATAAATAAAAACTACTAATTCTAAGTTGGTATAATATAAAGTACTATACAAAAAGAAAGAAATAAACTCGTATAACTGAAGTTAAAGAAGCAGTATCGAATAGAAACACAAATACATTCTCAAAAATAAGCTATTTTTTTGAACAACTACTATTTATTTTAAATGTTTAGGAATTACGTGATCGATGCAACTAGCCCTCATTTAAAAAATGCTAGAAATGTACCAAACCTCACTGATTACAAAATTGATTTTGATATCCAAGCATTATTATGTTTTTCGACTACCTCAGCACGGAAAAGGAGCAGTAGATGGGATTGGTGGAGTTGTCAACTTCAGTGAGACCGAACACATTTTAAATTGTGTACAACCAACAACATTGTTTTCATGGCATCTATTTCTAAGTTTACTAAAGAAGTTGATGATCATCAAGTAATGAA